TGCAAAAATGGCAAACAATGCCACAGATTATATTGAACTGAAATGAGTTATCTTTATCTCTCTAGTTATACGTCAGCGTCATATTTACCCTTTTTCAAATGCGTTCGCTGATCTCATTTCTTCTATCATGATAATAAGCCTTCACTATATTGCTTTTTCTGCTTCCAGCAGGCAAAGAAGTGTTTCAATCATATGATAAATAGGAGCATCATAGATTTTCCTGTGTATTGAATCACCAGTCTATCATAATAAATAGAGGAATAAAGGAAATGTTTGTTTGAGTGTTGATTAACGCAGCACTGAGCAATATTTCAGCTGTATGATGACGGCCTATAAATAATCCAGTCTAGACCAGACAATCCAGTGATTGGTATTGCGAGTAATAATCCAAGCGACAAAGTTCTTTCCATAATATAAACTTAGGAAATATCCATTTTACGATGCCGAGTGTATCATAAACAGTGCCGTAGCCAACTGCCCCCCTCCTGGATTTTTTTTTTATAGAAAACAGTTTTATTTGAATCAAGTTGGGGACAAGTGATACTCGTACAAATATTTGCTCCCCCTGTCAAAAAAAGTTAACTACGTCCTTGATAAACGTGTGTTTATGAATCACGATCAAATAGTTATGATACCAGGTGTTCGCAAAAAGGTGAGTGTATCACGACACACTGGTGTCGAAGTTCACATACACATGCAAAGTCAGGTCAATGAGCGATTTTGTTACCAGTGAGTGACTGAATAGACAAGCAAACTGATCCATAACAAAATCTAAATGTACAGACAAACAATTTAATAAAAGCAGAGAGCAGAGAATTAATAAAGTCACATTAATCAGGGCATTATTAGTGAGGGCAAACTGATGTTAACATCTTTCGCACACATATACTCAACTGCTTGATCATCCCGTCTCTCAGACTGTGGTCATATTGTATAATTAAGTTTTCACTCCTTGTGAAAGAGGCAATTAGAAGGGGTGGTCAGACACGGTGACTTGGTGGACAGCGTGGCGACGTTCGGATCATTGCTCATGATACAGATCAGCTGATTGTTTAATCTAGACTCGATTGCTTACAGGACGTTGTTTTATGGAATGGGTACTGCTTGGTACAACGTTAGGAAACCAACGTACACTTACGTTGTTTATCTGTCATTTTTAAAAAAAAAAGTGTTAGCCCTGACAGTACGTGTATGAAACTTCACCCTGGAGACCACGTGGAGTGAACAATGACGCTACCGATGAAAACATATTTGTTCGGCCGACAAGTAGTGTACATACAGCATACTCAAGTTGTGGATTTAATGCGACTTTTCAACATAAAGCACATTTGAGTTCTATATGTTCCTATCTGTTTTCACAGACATCGTGGTGTACATAAATTTAAACATCATCACTACAATTACAAACACACAATATTCCTTTAAGAGTCTTCATGTTTGACGATACGTTCTGTATAGAGAGATCCATATTTTATATTATATTATATTTAATATTTTTTATGTAGAATGTTTGCTTAGAAAACTAACATTTCCCAAGGGAAAAACCATCAAATGTTACATATACAGAACGAAAGCCTTTCCAACTGCCTTTCCAACTGCAATGTTAGAGGATCTCCATAAATGGCGTTATGAATTATTGGGCACGTTAAAAACGTAATTCTTTAATAAGACGACCCGTGAAGATTCCGGGGTAGAATAGGTCTTCAGCAACCCATGCTTGCCGTAAAAGGTGACTAACGGGATCGGGTGGTCAGGCTCGCTGACTTGGTTGATGCATGTCATCGATCCCAATTGCGTGGATTGATGCTCATGATATTAATCACTGGATTGTCTGGTCCATACTCGATTATTTGGATTCCAACCAACCAACCAACCAACTTAATGACATTGTGTGGTCATAACTTTCGGCCATAGGCGTTGTGCCAAACTTCAATGGTCTGTGCTAACTGTCAGTTCACCTCGCCAGGTGTTTCTACCTACCTACCCCATTACATCACTGACATGATTGCTACACACTGACTAGCCCAAGCTGGTAATATGCTTTGGACATGTTACTGAACCATTGCCATAAATGCCTTTCTTTGTCAATATGGTAAACGCCCCTTTACGTGTGGCCAAATAGTTAGGTGCAATAAATTGTTTTAAACGACGAGAAAAAGCAACAAAAACAGTTCAATAACCATACCCCCATCCACGCACACCAAAAAGAAAAAGAAAAAGAAAAAGAAAAAAAGAACAAGACTGAATCACATACTTATGAACTTTAAGATGTAGCTGCAGAAAGGAGACATCAGCCACTATCCCAAGCTGCATCTCATTCGTTAAATGTTGAGTGGAAAATAGAATCTTATCGCATATGCATTCCTATCTGTAGTCGTAGTCGTTTTGTTTATGTAATACACAATGAATGTATTTTACGCTGTAGTTCGATAAAAAACTATTTGTTGTACAATTCTTGTGCAGCAACCTTCAGCCAACAGTATTTTGATACATATACTCTACTGCCCAGAAGTGTATTCCCCTGATACGCGTTGAGAACGCGTGTAGCACGCATGTGACACGGGTGTTGAACGGGTTGCACACGAGTTGAGCACCCACTGAACACGCGTGTGCAACGCGCGTGCAACGAGTGACCCTCGCGTGTGCCATGCGTGTAATACGGGACTGGTTGAAATGACAAATACATGTACTTCATTTGCAGGAATTATCACTGTTATAAAATTGTTATCAGTGCTATAAAATATTAAAAAAAGATATTTATCCCATTATTTTAAATCCTTATGCCGTTAAACGTATGAATGAATAACTCAATTAACTGTTAGAGAGATACTTAAATGATCAAGTCAAATTACAATATATGACTCTTAAAATCGTCACGCCAACGACGCATGTGATTATGTGAGGTGTGTAACCTCTTTGATGCAGCCTACAATAAAGACATCAAGATAAAGCAAGAAGTAAACAATTGAACTTGAATATAAGATTGAATTATTTAGTCTGCGTATGAACTGACTGGAACCAACTCGTTTCCCTGTTGCATAATAATAAAGGCTTTAATGAACTATTCCCGAGAGATCTTAACAATTTTTTATCGACCCTCCGAGAAACACCAAACCACCTTTGTTTTATAACATATCAATTAAACATTATTGTAGGGTGGCCAGAGGTGTATGGTTATTGTGCATATTTTACCAACTAATCTTCCTCGTATGTGAAAATATACAATGCAAAACAAGACGTAAACAACCATCCGCATCCTTCAACCTCTCAGATCACTTTCAACTTTAATGACGAGTCGCCAGTGATAAACCTACGGCCACTTCTGCCTATTGTAGGGGGCACGGGTGGCCAAATCGTCTAAGGCGCCGCGGTTTCCTGTGCAGAGTTGCTTCCATTGGGCACACCAGATTATGATTGTGGGTACGAATTCTGGCTCGGCCTTATTATGTTTTTAGGTTTGTCAGCACCATACCCGTGCTCGTGGATTTCACCGAAGTGCTAAACGTCTGAGACCTGCATCACTTCCAGCTTTCTCCCACATTAAGCTGACACGCCGTGATATAACTGGAATACTGTTAAAAGCGGCGTTAAAACCCAACTCACTCACTCTGCCTATTGTAGGTGTCTTCCTTTCTCATAGTAACCTTACTTCAAGGGAGACCTGCTCAGGGGCTTTATTATTGATTTGTAACACCTACGTTGTACAATTGACGGTTTATAACACTGCTTTAAGGCATACGTTTTACTTTAACTTCAAGTGATATGAATATAATGCCGATTATGGATTGCTTAAAAGTCACATTTTTTTTTAATTTGAAAATTCCATGACGTTAATCGAACTTGCAAACTCACACATCGTGTTAAGTTTTCACCGGGGCAAGTGATCAAACGTTGTTCAATTTTACATGTCACGACTTCAGTTGTGTGCATGCTGACCTTGGTCTTTCTCCGTGGTATTTCTTGCATTTAGACGGTTCATAAGATGGATAAAATACGACTCCGAGGTTTGTGTTAAAAAGATAAAACCCGTTTTCCTCGCTAGTTGTATGACTGGGATTTTGTCAAAAATTAAATTGTCTCCGAAAATTCGTGAAACAAATAAGTATTCTTCAGACTTTTGAAAAAGAAGAAGAAATTGCATTGTTGCAAGGAGTTTATTTACAACAAATTCAGGCTCATTATTTAAACTTAAAAAAACCAACAATACTTGTTTGTAGCCGTAGCTGAAAAATATCTAATCATGACACAAAATCCCAGACCCGCCAAAATATCAAATGGTCGTGTCCAATGGAGATAGTATACCGAGAGACGGTACCAATAAGATTTGAAGTAAGTTTGCAAGGTAACTCAAATTAAAAACTTTTATCAACCATATTTACCCCAAGGGCAGCATACTATATTCACCGCCAAAATAAAAGCGTACCATTGAAACATAAAGAGATATATGTACGTTAAGAAGAGATGTTTCATATGGCTACCAATTAATGACAAAACTAACAATCGGTCAAGTGTAACCACGGAGTCGTTATTCTTATCACGATATGTTGTACGTGATTTCCAAACTTTACACGCTAATCTTGCACGAGACACATGGTGCATCTCGAAACATAGGTCTTATGACGTCATATGTTATGCGTTCATGGGCATATATGTAGTTGTTGGGGAAGAGACATCTCAAGTGCTTCCAATATTACAGACTGCTCGGAAACCACCTGAGAATACATTAGAGAATTCTGTTTGCTGCCAGTGCCGCGTGGTCACATAGAAACTGTGATAGTACTAGTACTAGTATCAGTGAGCAACACATCAGTGCCTGGGTATTGCCAACCGTTCTTTATTTCTGTCATTTGTTAGATCTGTCGAGGAAAGCGAATTGATTTTTCTTTACAACTGTAGCCTCAAAGAAGAAAGCAACAAAGTTGTCTTCAGTATTTAAATATTTGGATCGGGTTATTATGTGCTGAGATTCACATTATTTGGACATTAGACACAATTAAATGTCATGAAATATAGTCTTTATTATGGTAGAGTGCAATTATTGGGAGTAAACAATGTATGAAGAATGAACGGAGCTGGTCCTTTTTCCAGAAAAAGACTATATCTGGTACATTCGTGTTAAGTCGTGTTTTAGTTGGTAAGTATATAAGCTTAGCCAAGATAATTCTAATTGCATGACGTTAATTGAACGGAAGGGGATAACATTCAGTATTAGAACTGTAGTGATGGTTCGGAGTAAATTTGAACATCATTATCAAGCAGGCCACTGCAATGTTTTTGTACAATTATGATAAAGAAGTTGACCAACCGTAATATTCTCCTACACCACATTCTACAAAACGATTATATGTCTTGATCATTCGCAAAGGTCATATCCGAGATAGTCCCACTGAGAATCCGACACAACGCTTGCATTCCTGTCAGGCGAGATAATCATCTCACAGGTGTTGTCGACATTCCGGAAGTTGCAGCCAACACACCCCACAAAGTGATGACAGGAAATTGCGCATTCTAACCGGAACTTTAGGGAAGTTATATTTCCCAGAACAGTAGTTTGATGCAGTCGGCGTCCATTGGCAGCAGGAAAAACTTTCTGCCCACACTCTGGAATGAACGTAAACGTTAATAATGACCAGAGCTAGGGATAAAGGCATTTATGATATCCTGAATAAACAGTGACATGTGTTTGTAAAGAAACACAATCATCAAAGACATGATAGTTATTGTGTTCAATGCCCAAAATGGCAACATGCATGTAAAGTGATTCGTTGAAAAAAGTAACTGCATTTGCCGAGGAAACCACCTTTCATTTTGTTCTGTTACTCCTTTCACATAAATATATACATTTAAGGCAGAAGTAAAAACTATTTTTTTCAGGATATCTGGTTTTTGTATGTAATCATTAGTAATCCCATTTTGGTGCAAGGATGCAATAATGTAAGAAAATCGGACAAACGCATGATCAAATATTTGAATCAGCTCTACTGCGCTTTTGGATATATATTTGCTGAAACAATATTCAATTTTTGCAATGAAGAACTTTGAAACTGAGGAAGCAGTTAACTGTCGTTATCTTGTTATGGTTGACATATGCTGTTATGACTACATTACTGGAGGATTAACACATGCCTACCTTGATGAAGAGGAATCCCACTTATCTCAATTTCACAAAACATCATGGTGTCATACTGATTAACAGTCTCCTTCCGGATTTTGACAAACCTGCCAACAACTTCCTCATCACAGGTTATATGGGAGACCATAGCCAGTTGCCCGGGGAGATGTTTACATGGAGTTGCAGCAGCTGTTGGACATCTTGCCGGATTGACAGAGAACATCTCCACCGTGACGTCATGGAGGCGCTCCGCTGGAGCAACATAAATCAAATATAACTTAATTATTCAGTCAGTTTCATCAGTGACATACAACAGAGAGGTGTTCCTCTTAATACTGAGTGGCTGATGTGGGTTCAGTGCCGCTTTGAACAACATTTTAGTTTTATCACACCATGGAATACGTATACGTTTGTTGTTTAACGCCGCACTCAGCAGTATTCCAGCTATATGGCGGCGGTCTGTAAAAAAAATCGAGTCTGGACCAGACAATCCAGTGATTGACATCATGAGCATCGATCCACGAAATTGGGATACGATGACTTGCATCAACCAAGTCAGCGAGTCTGACCACCCGATCTCGTGAGTCGCCTTTTACGACAAGCATAGTCGCTTTTTACGGCAAGTATGGGTTGCTGAAGACCTGTTCTACCCCGGATCTTCACGGGTGTCACACAATGGAAGTTTATTATGTGAGGAAAGTGATGCACACTATATACGTTTACCGCGTTTGTGAAATACTGTGGTTCAGTGGTACTTTTATCTGTATAGAACAGATATCGAGGCATAGTTACATAGAGGTTATCCTGTATTAGGAATAAAGAGCCTTGGCGAGCTAAATACATAGTGTTTATTCCTAATACAGGATATTTACCATCCCCAAACACACAAGCGTGATAATCTCGTTATCATATAATGTCATTCTTTAATTCTGTGCTTGAAAATCGCGTTCCCTCTCTCACAAACATTACCTAAACATTGCGAGTTTTCCTGGAATGCGCGCATTAATATTCATTACGTCACAGGGAAAGTGATGTGTCAGTCGGACAGTGACAGTTGCCAATATAGTTCCAACAAAATCTATTTTTTATACAGTGGCGAAGCAACATATACGCAAAACAGCAATAATTATTGTTTTTAATTGCCTTTCGCGGCAATCCATCAGTCTGTCCGCTAGAGTAACTGCCCTTTGTCAAAGGGAAGCTACTCTAACCCTAGTCCTATGAGACGTCGTGGCAACAATCAGACGTTGTTGACAGTCGGCCTGTCCAGTCAAAACGTTAAGAAGTGCAATCAGATGTACACACAGCGACAAAACGAAACAAGGTAACAATTCAAACATATTTCGGCCAAATCAATCTATTCTAATTTGTGGTAAAGGTTTCAAGCCACAGAGGTCTACAAGCACAGATATGGCTACTGATCCCGCTTGGCTAGGCCTAGTAAAATTCGAAATTTATATCTCCAAAGCTGCATAAACTGATAAAATGCCTCAGCGACGTCACAGTTAGACACTGATTTTAAGTATATTAGACTGTTCTTTTGATAATGATAGCAATCATCTCTGTAGTTTATCCAGATTCCCGATGGTTAATTCTGACTCGATTGCCGAATGACAAGGGCGACGCCATGTTTGTTTATAAACACTAAAAGTAGTCCCTACTATCCGCATATGACCCCAACGGATATCGTTTTTATCCGTTGGCTCTATCCTACCGAGAAACCTACCCATTATATGATAAATAAGGAATACCCCCATTGTAGACATTTAATGATATTTCATTAACTGAATCTGAATCTACTTACAATAGGCATCCCCTCTGTTGTAGATAGTGATGTTACCGATGGTGTATGTGCTGAGTAGGTCAACTATCCACCATGGGTTCAAGTCATCATGAGCTGTCCCAAAACAACTTCTACTACTCCAATTGTTGTCAGTGTTTCCATCAACAGCATAAGACGGTTGGGAATAACCTTGGTAATCAGTGCTGTAGTAGGTGGGCTTTCCAATAGCAACATTGTTGGTGGCAACAACTGAAAATAAATTGTGTCGTAAAGTTGGCATTGTCTATTCTTTAGCAGGTTTTAATTTGATGTGCGATTTATAATACACAAAGATTTCACATCTAGTTCCTCGCACTGTCAGGAGATCAGTGGATGGGGATCGTGTCGATGTATTTGATATAAAAAGGAACTATGGTTTAATTCTCGGTTTACAAAACTGTTTTAATTCAATTATGGTGCCCTTGTCGCTCTGATTTCATCTTCAATTAGCTTTTTCTTCTGAAAGGCCGGGGCAATGCTCGTGTGCATTCAGGTTACAGGAATTCTCATGTTTGCAGGTTCGAGTCCTGATTCCACATGATATATATCGCTAACATTCTGGCGAGGTGATACAATTTCTCATGCATGAAAAAAGTTGTCTTAAATGTGGTACATTGATATTTTTTCAAGAAATGATTTTAAATATAATAATCTCACTCTCATGTCTTTCGAAAACAACAAAAGCAACACTTCAAACGGTTGATTTGTTTAATATCAAGAAAAAAAGCAGTAAAACCCTTTCCATAATATCAAGAAAGTTCATCATTATACCATGCCTACTGGATCAAAATCATGTAAACACCATCAAATAGTAATAACACCAGGTGTTCGCGAAACGGTGAGCCTCCCCTGTGGTCCACATCACAAACACATGCAAAAGCAGGTCAACTTAAAACAAACAAGGAAACATATGGTACAACCCAAAATAAAGAATTGATATCTTTTTGGCCGTTATACGGACGTCATAGTGTCTTGTGGAGTGCATTTCGTCACTCTGAATCTTATACATGAAAGATTATGTTGTTTCACTGGTCGCTTTTATTTCCAGTTCAGTAGAGGAAATCAGTGAGAGGGAATTTGCTATTTGACCATAATTGAATGATATCAGATCATCGCTATACGAAGCTAAAGTTAAACTTCTTGGCATGTTTTTATTTTGCCAGTCCGGAAATGCCGATTCATATGCATACAGAAACTGATCAGCAAGAAGGGGACTACCCTTGATTGATTATGCCTTCTTCTTGCCTAATTGTCTAATCCCAAACTTCCACGTAGATGTTAAAAATTGTTTTATCAGTAAACTACTGATGATATTTGCTTTCGTTTTGACAAATGTTCCCGAGCCTCTGAAGATGGGTAGCTATATATATATGGCCAAAACGTTTAGTAACAAATGCCCCCCTGGATCAAGGAATCTTTTCCTAAACGTTGACGTGTGGGATGTTAAAGGTGTACAAAGTTGAAAAATCAAATGTTTTGACAGAATGGAATCCCTTTGTTGAGATTCAAAAAATCAATGAAATCCTTGACTGTATTAAGGGTTAAGGCTAATGTTTTGATACTGGGAGTTTGTAGTAGATTTGATGGACCCAGCAATATCTCTCTCTTTATACGGATATATCGAGCTTTCAGTGGTATTGGAATCTCTTCCCTCTGTGTATCACATCTGAATGCCTTTTAAAGACTTGATTTTTTCATACTTTACCCTTTTCCCTCTTTATAATTTGAAAGGGAAACTATATTCTATGAATCAACATGGATTTTGTTTCCAGGTAAGGAGTTAAGAACATTATGTTTTAGTTCCTGATGGACAATATGTTGCCAAATTTGCGGTTAGAACACAATTGATACCCTTCTTGACAACGGTATAAAGATCTTTTCTAGATCATTCTAGAAAAAAAAAGTTGTCAACCATAAAAATATGTTGTTTTTACTCAAGAACTTTGTACTAGTGACATATCAAATAATGCCAGATATAAGGCCAGTATGTCAACTCTGGACGAAATCTGCCAAAATCACGCATCTGTACTATTAATTGTTTACTTCACACTAAAACCTGAAGACATGTTCCAACCCCCGAGCATGTACCAGATCCCTTGCAACTGTGGCCACTAGTACACTGGAGAAACCCTCAGGTCCCTCAACACCAGACTGTAAGAACATCGGACCTCTGTTAACAAACTCGACCTGAAATCCGCTATTTCCTAACACATCCTCAAGAACCTAAACCATAACATCTTGTGGAAGCCACCAAAGTCCTGTTTACCAACAACAACAACTCTCGACAAAGAAAACTACAAAAAGCCATTGACATCAGGAGACACCAGCCAGCCATGGCAAGGGAACATATCTGCCGAGTGCTTGGGACTTATTGCTTTGATCTGTGTTAATCTTTGTCGGTGCTAATGTCCATTCTTTCACCTGTCACTGCTAATCACCCACGACCTCCCGTTTGCCCAGTGACCATTACCTATTACTTATCTAGGGACGGTCGTGTAGCCAAGTGGTTTAAGCGTTCACTCGTCACGCCGAAGACCAGTGTTTGATTCCCGACACGGGTACAATGTGTGAAGCCCATTTCTGGTGTCCCCCGCCGTGATATTGCTGGAATATTGCTAAAAGCGGCGTAAAACCATACCAACTCACTCACTATTACTTATCTATGATAACTAAGTACTGCCTTCCATGCCATCAGCGCTAATTACTGTAAAGTGTTGGCTTCCATTGTCTATTGCTAATCACCTATCAGCGCCAATCATCTGTTGGCTTCCCTTGTTAGTTTCTACCCTTTGTTATTTTCCGCCTATTTTCACCTTTTGTTATCTTATTAATTTTGTTATCCTTACATGTACATATATATATGCTCTCTGTCTCATAGCATTCATTCACCTGGTGAAGGAGTAAGCATATACTCCGAAACGTTGTGTTCCTCATAATAAAGAAGTTGACATCCATATATTCGCTTCCTTATGGAAAAATGGCCAAAACGTTCAGCAACAAATACCCCCTTGCATCAAGGAATTTTATCCTTAACTTTGAAATGTGTACAAAGTTGAAAAATTGTTTTGACAGAATGAAATCGCTTAACTTAGATTTTAAAGAAATCAATTAAATCCTTTGACAATTTACATGGTATTAATTCAATTTGTCTCAAATACTTTCTGCGAATATACAGCATGCCATTCCTTGAATCTATCTCGAGGGAAAAAGGTAAAGGGTGAACAAATCAAGTTGTTAAACTTGATAAATTCTGTCCGGTTCTGACATTCTATAACTTAAGTAAAGCTTTTGAAGTATTCAAGATCTACATGCGATTAAGTCTACTTGTCTCACAGTCTCCGACATACTGAATTAGGTATTGCTTGAATCCTGTCAGAATAATTGTTATATCTATATACACTGAAAGGCAAAAGACACGTCGTGTGGATGTATCATATACATATCTTAAATTTCAAATGCTTATTTATGTAAGTAAAAACATCGGAGAAAGTCAGTGTTTGACCCATATGAAATTAACAGTCTGGGGAATGTTTTGCGAATTGTGAATTTGGGGAGGCACTAGAAGACATCACAGCTGGGGGGTTCAAAATCAGTACCTGGTGTGGCCACCACGGGCGTTGACTACAGCCACACATCTCCAGTACATGGAGTGGACTAGCTAGCCTGTTGATGAAGGCCATTGGGATATGGGCCCATATCCTCGGGAACGCTACACGCAGTTCTGCTGCAGTTGTCGGTCATGGGCGTACGTCGTTGTGTCGGCGTTGGATCTCATCCCACAAGTGTGCAATGGGATTCAAATCCGAACTGAGGGCAAGCCAAGGCATGATTTGGATGTTGTGCTGCTGGAGGAAGTCCCTGGTGACTCTGGCAGTGTGGGGACGGGCGTTGTCTTGCAGAAAGTTGTGGTTTTGATGACGGGCAAAAAAAGGCACGATATGGGGTCTGAGGACTTGTTCAATGTAGCGGAGAGCTGTGATGCCATTACCCCAGCCTGGACCAATATTCTGAAAGACCACAGGTCCCACTCTCTGGTTCAGTCCGATTCCAACCCAAACCATGATGCTTGGGCCGCCCCACGGGTCTCGTTCCATAACACAAGCATCAGCATAACGTTCGCCCCTCCTTCGCCAGACCCTGACTCTGCCATCCACCGTTGAAACACAGTAGCGACTTTCATCAGTGAAGATGATTCTTCTCCATTGCTGTTGACGGCAATTTTGATGCTGTCTGGCCCATTGCAGTCGGGCCTGTCGGTGACGATCTCTCAGTATGGGTACACGAGCAGGACGGTGGCACGAGATGTTGTTGGCAGTTAGGCGACGTCGGACTGTACGATCACTGATGGCACGCTGGTGGTTGCCAATGGTTTGCCGAGCTGTTTCAGTGGCCATTCGGAATCGGTTCTGCAGATGTTGGCGTATCATAAACCGATCTTGTCTGGGAGTAGTGACTCTAGAACGACCACTACACGGTCGGTCGTCGCTGGTGTTGTGGCGATGTTGCAAACGATATATCGTTCTGACGTTGACATTGAATGCATTTGCAACGACCTGTGCACTCTGGCCTGCTTGCAGTCTTCCGATCGCTTGTTGTCCCTCATTTCCTGATAATCTTGGCATGGATGATGAATTAAAATAACGAAAGCCAGCTTAACAGTTTTGAGTGTCTTTATACCCAAACCATCCACGATATGCACGTGCATCGTGTTTTTAACAAGACTTTTCCGCAACTGAGTCTCATTGCACTTTTGTAGGCTGCGTTTGGGCAAAGCACCCCATTTTAAACTCAATTGTTAAATGGACTTTAAGGCAACAAAAAGAAGCAGTAGAACGATAAATGAGTTTTTTGACCACAGAACATGTAACTGGCAGTGTCAGTTAAGTTTTATCAGTATTTCCAGAAGTGACGTTTCTTTTGCCTTTCAGTGCATGAAAAATCTACATTCGGATTCTCATGAAACTCAGTATAAAACTGATCTATTCAATCTCTGATGCTTCAGAAATTTCCCGAAAACATTTCATGATTGTCTCATATTTGCCCCGACAGTGTGGATTGTTGTTCACAATATCAATCTCTGGATTTTCTGCCCAGACTCGACTATTCACATGCCGCCGTCATATCATTGGAATATTGCGGCGTTCGACAACAAAAAAACAATAATAAAAGGTACATATATATTCAAATCATCTAACCAAGACTGATAAATTCCTCAAACACTCCCAAATTTAGAAATGAAATGTACTTGATATGATATTCTTGCATGTCCTTGCACCACCTGGCAACATAACCAAAGTGGCGATGGTGCATTAGACATGAACTTTAAATTTGACATAGAAACAAGCTATGAACTGAAATCTTTACTGAAGAGACGGTATCCTTAGTGATTATCTCCATATGTGAATTTACATTTTAGAGGAAATCCGGGTCATATTCATGAAACTTTAAGTAACTATGTGATGACACAAATAAAGTAATAATATAAACCATATTTACCCAAAGAGCAGCAATAACCAATGCATATATATGTACACCACTTTAAATGTAGATGTTGGTGAAGAGACATCACAAACGCATCCAGTATGGAAAACCAACTCAGAGCATATGAGAGAAATGTGTTTGGTGTCAGTACCGTGTGGTCACATGGAAACAAGAATACAAACACTTCATGTCAGCATGTGATCAATTAATGATTATTTCTCTCCGGAGGTTAACAGTCATTTGTCAGCTCTGCTCCAATTCCAAAATTGATTTTGAAAAGATACCACTTGAAACAAAAAAGCGAGGAATGTCAATGTTTGCATTGTTTCTTCAATGAATTCTATTTGGAAAGTTCAATTACCAAGAGAATACAATGTACGAACAATGTATTGTTGAACTGCGTTTACCTATCGTCAAATACGTGAATAATTGAATATGGTTATCCGCCACTGTTAGCAATATATCACGAGATATCAGAAGTGCTCTTCACACATTGTCACCGCATTCACTCAGAGCATATCCAAATAACGTCAGGCACTTTTCCGGGTCCGCGGGGCCACAATCGTTGCTATAACTCACACACATTTTCACAATGATGTGTCGCAACTATGAATCACATAAGTCATAACGTTGATGGTGCATTCAATTCATGCCATACTTTCCCCCCTTAAATATTATTCAACACTGGCCTTCAAAAGAGTTCTAGTTTGGTGAGACATTTTGCAGACAATTGTAACGTCATCGGGTACCATGATGTCACAATCAAATAACATCACTAATCCCTGCAGCTGAAGCTGGGTAGATGAAGTAATGACAATGAAGCCACTGGTTAACATTGTTTACAAACTAAGAAATTGGAAGGATGATTTTGGATGATGAATTGATCATTGAATTTCTTCGTGGTTTTGAACTTTTATCGACTCGTGTTAATATATTTGAAATATAGAGACACTTTGGTGATGTTCTCTTTATACTGCCTGAGCAGGCGGGAGTTTTGATTTCATGTTGCCTAAGAAGTATGACAACATCGCAACATCTCATTGTAAGATTGTGACACGCATCTTATAATGTCATGGTATGTCTATTGCCAACTCCTTTGAACAATTAATGTGCAATATAACTTTTATCGCCATACAAATGCGACTCGATGTCATTATTAAAGTATTTCATTGGCATTTAGAAGTTGGGAGAACATGGATACATGACACTATTTATGGATAGCAACTTCTTATATTCTTTATCCCGACGTTTCAGAGCTACTTCTTGCAACTTCATCAATTTATTGTAAACAAATCATATGCTTAACCAAAAAATTCCATCCTTTTGCACTTAGAAGGATGTTTAGATTGAAAAAGAACAAAAAACCCTCGCATTTAATTAAACATATTGGATGAGAGCGATATGACTCGAGGAACGGAAGCATTTCAGATATTTCTCCGACTGCATACGTCAAAACTAATATTGAATCCCACCGCGCGTTGCGGTGATCCAATAAAACGCATTCATTCTGATTAATACAGAAATTACTGTAGCCACACATCTAATTCAGATATCAGTTTTGGAAATAGGTGCATGCTGTCTTTAGCAATACCTTAGCCATAGCACCTTCGGAAACACCGAAGTTTCAAATATTCTACCAAGCAGATGTCTATCGAACCTGGGTATTTTTGCTTTATCACTTCTGGGAAGAAAGCATGGAAGTATTGTCAGCGTTAACCGGAGATTCGAACCCACTATCAAGGGTTTCTGACACGCCTAAGGTACCTTACACGGCTCATTAGACGACTTGGCAACACGTGTGTTCTGTGAAGTTACAATGATGGACAAGAGTTCAGATCTGTGTCAGTTTTATGTAGGGGAGCAGGCCTTTACCTCCTCGGTGAAACCAATCAGTACGGGAATGGTTCCGTTGAACAAAACTAATCCAGGACGAGTCTTGAACTCGAATCCACGAATAGCGGTGTCTGACACTGGCCATATTGAATTGCATCGTCTTAGGCCACATGGCCCTGTCTCGTGTGATTTCGGAATTGTCGGATTTGCCTACCTCTTTAAACAAGGTATGACGTCAGTGTTCAAATTGGCATATATGTGATTTTGTTAAAGCCTCCACGAGTGTTCGTTATTACAAACATTAATCACAGAGTCGATTGTAAAGAGGAATGGTTTGGCTGTTGGCCATTTCAATATGATTTCAATTGTGAAATATTTAAGCCAAATATAGGACATGTCACCAACAGGTAAAACATAACTTTTTACTGCTCATCGGGGCGGTGAGGTAGTCAGGTGGTTAAGGCAGTATCTAGTCACGCCGAATCCCGAGTTCGATTCTGCAGTGAGTGAAGGGCTTGTACCACCACCAGACCCACCCAGCATGGCCAGCAATCTTTATGCTTATATATCTATTGCGGTGTTGTGTAGACATACGTGTCTGATGTCAGTAGTTGTTACTGTATACCGACCTGGAATACTATTTGCTTTCCAATGAAAGGTTCCATGTGAAGTGTTGCGGAAAGTGAAATGTTATGATTAAGTATTGTTACGTGTGTTCCTTACCTCAAACTAGCCAATAAGAGTCTACACATCTTCCTCAAACCCTAACATCGTTCAGAACACACATGTAACAACATTCCTGTGTTGACACAGGTAACAAATCAGTGTTGAGGCCACACAGGTAACAAAAGGTCAGTGTTGACACCACCTAGGCAACAACAATCCAGTGTTGACACCACACAGGTAACAACACTCTAGTGTTGACACCACACATGTGACAACAACTCAGTGTTGACACCTTACATGTAACAACAATCCAGTGTTGACACCACACATGTAACAGCAATTACGTGTTGACACAATGCATGTAACAGCCATTACGTGTTGACACCACACATGTAACAACATTTACGTGTTGACTCCATACATGTAACAGCCATTACGTGTTGACACCACACATGTAACAGCAATTACGTGTTGACACAATGCATGTAACAGCCATTACGTGTTGACACCACACATGTAACAACATTTACGTGTTGACACCATACATGTAACAGCCATTACGTGTTGACACCACACATGTAACAGCAATTACGTGTTGACACAATGCATGTAACAGCCATTACGTGTTGACACCACACATGTAACAACATATACGTGTTGACACCATACATGTAACAGCAATTACGTGTTGACACCATACATGTAACAGCCATTACGTGTTGACACCACACATGTAACAACATATACGTGTTGACACCATACATGTAACAGCCATTACGTGTTGACACCATACATGTAACAGCCATTACGTGTTGACACCATACATGTAACAGCCATTACGTGTGAATCCACACATGTAACAGCAATTACGTGTTGACACCATACATGTAACAGCCATTACGTGTTGACACCACACATGGAACAGCAATTACGTGTTGACACAATGCATGTAACAGCCATTACGTGTTGACACCACACATGTAACAACATATACGTGTTGACACCATACATGTAACAGCCATTACGTGTTGACACCATACATGTAACAGCCATTACGTGTTGACACCAGACATGTAACAGCCATTACGTGTGAATCCACACATGTAACAACATATACGTGTTGACACCACACATGTAACAGCCATTACGTGTTGACACCATACATGTAACAGCAATTACGTGTTGACACCACACATGTAACAACATGTACGTGTAGACACCACACATGTAACAACAATCCAGTGTAGACACCACACATGTAAGAGCAATTAAGTGCTCTTTTATCGTGTTTACTTTGGGGATGTATTTTCCTTAATGCAGGAAGAGGTCGCCCAGACGCCATTTGTACATATGTAAACCATGTCTTTTATTTCTCATTCTATAAGTGAGAGCGTGAGTAGGGTGTTACGCCGCTTTTAGCAATATTCTATCAATATCACGGCGGGGGACACAAGAAATGGGCTTCACACATCGATGTTGGGAATCGAACCCGGGCTTTCGGTAGGACGAGCGAACGTTGTAACCACTGGGCTACCTCCACCGCCCCTCTCATTCTATTATGTAAGGCCATGACACGGTGAATTTTAGAAACAGTTCATCTTCATACCCAGCTGGGGCGAAGGCCTTTGAGTATTATATTGTGTTACTTTAAATGAAGATAAATATGAAGATTGGTTACATTGTGTTTAATTGTATTTTGACCACCACCTGACCTTTCTACCACATATTAATCACTTAAAAAATAAATGTGTGAAGGCACTTGATTTACTGAAAGTCATTTCAATTTCAAAGTGGGGAGGGAATCAGAAAACCCTCCTCCAACTGTACAGAGGACTCATGGTATAAATCCTGGTGGGGTCCATGCAGGTAGCAAAGGTATAAATAAATGTTGTTTTAAATTTGGTAGATTAAATTAGTAACTGAGATTATCAGTGGCTGTATCTTCGAAGCAGGTTAAAGTTCTTTAAAGCTGTTGTCTCCCATAGAGGGTATGTAAATTCCACATCATTCATTGAGGACTATCACGATTTTAATCATAGCATGTGTGTTAGTTTTAATTGATGTCTGAACTTGCATGCCATCTCCAGCGGCTGAAGGGATGGTGTAAATCCTGGTGGGGTCCATGCAGGTAGCAAAGGTACTATAAGTCCCCACCGTCCTCAGTATGGCGATCTTCCTCCAATTGCTGGCTATTTATAGCCCATTGTTATAATGTATTGTTTATTTCGTAATAGTTTTTTTTATGGTAATATAGCCGTTTTAAATATATCTGTGATAAGTCAAGTTATTTTACGGTCCTTTGCTGACAGGATTTATAGTCTAAATTGCTGTTTCCTTAATGTATTAGTTGTTGTAGTCATGATATGGCTGAATGTGGCTGAATATTGCCGATGTGACTATAAATATGAACCGGCTCACTCACCACATTGATGACATATATTTTGATGGTTGCATGATTGTGGACCCTGCCCAAACTACCGGCATTTGCAAAATCGAAGTGGGTTTGGAATGTATTGATCCACATAAAATACCCTGCTTTTCATTTATTTATTGACAATTTGGCTTTGTCAATGTATTGAGAAAAGTATTTGTGCTGAAGATCGCA